AGAATGCCACAAACCAAATTGTGATTATGCAGCATCTTTGATTTGTTCACTTCACTAAATAGAAACTACTTCAAATATATAACTTCTTTGATTTTGCAAAGAAAATGGAAATTGTTAGCCTGCTGAATATTTCACTCAGCATCATCAGAAAATGTTCACATTAAACTGTTGCCTTCATAGGCATATATTTTGGTTCCGTTTGTAACAGATGTTTTGTATCACATACTTTTATGAGCTAATTTATCTGCAAGGAATTGCCCTCACTGGCTGAGGTGCATCCAGCTGTGAAAATAGCTCAAGTGCCATTTGTAGACATTTTCATTCCATTCTTCTGATCTCATAGGAACTCACTGACCACATCCAAGTTGAAAATAACGAGATAAAGAGAGAGGGACAATTGAGAACATCCACTTCTTAAAAAGAAAAATTCCAGTGTGGGAGTAATGTTTCTTCAAGCAAGAAGCATTTCTGAATGGAATGCAACCAGTACCAAAGAAAGATATTCTAATCTCCTAGAGTTGGTGCTTTTGAGACAAATAAGTACTGAATTGTGCTCCCATGATGATGCTAAGAACATTTGGTTAATTTGATGTCCACACAACCATTCAATCAATCATCACTCCTCACTAAAAAGTAATGACTCCCATTTCAAGATATATAAGCCACGATACAAGTTCAATTCACTCTGTGAGCACTTTGCTACACTTTAATATATTTCTGAGATAGAAATAAAATCCATTTGAATTGTTCTCTAGTGATTCTATAATCCAATCTGTTAATAGCTGTGCAACCACGTTAAAATGTATTAGTACATAAAAACAATATTCTATCTCTATGAAGGAGAGTCATGTTTTGTTTGTTTTTAAATGACCAAATGAAAATCTAATGGTAATGAAGATCAGACTGCTCAGAGATATTTTTAATGTCAATTGGGATTACTCCATCACAGATCTAAATTGTTCTATTTAGCTATTACCTTGTTACCTTGCTTGTAGAAGCAGAATAAAAAGGAATCATGTATTCTGAATTTTGAAAAAAGGTGAATAAATCCTTTCCCTTGTACCTCTATTACCATATGATGTTCTTAATAAAAGGGATACAGTAAATTGCTCAATAACATTCACTGTGCGTAACAGTGGAATCAGCGCGACAATTGTTAGATCTCAGTATACTAACTGAGCACTCTTGAAATATTAAAACAGCAGCCAACTTTTGAATCTATAATAATTACTTGTAAAAAGAGCAAATAGCATGAAGGTGCTATGCTATCAGTACAATCCTAAGCTCACTGTTGCCTATAAATTGTAATAATCAGCATATATGCAATCGTTTATGGCCAGGAATCACAGGTTATGACTCCTTATTTCTTGCCAGGAGCTGCCAAAGCTCTCTAAACACTTTCTTCTAACTGTTGTTGCACTTCCACCCATTTCTGTGCCTTGTATTCTGGTGCCTGAATTAATTTGCAGATCACACTCTACTGCATTTATCATACAATTTACCAAATAGTTTTTCTGAGACTCTGAAGATTCCATTGCAATATTTAGAAGCACTCTAGATAGCTTGTAAATAACTGCCTTCTACATATTCTGTCAAATATTTTCTGCTATGATTAGTAGCAGCTCCCTGTTGTTTTCAGTTGGTATCTTTCCTATCATCTGCTACCCAACTTGAAAATGTCAGGGACCGAGTTGAAGAGCTTCTGCATTCCAAGTTTGTTCCCAGGTCTATAGAATTTTCCATTTGCACAATCAAAACTCTTTGAAAACTGTAAACCCCTAAAATCCATCTTGAAATATTGCTGCTTCATATTAATCAGGAATTAGTATTATAGTAGAAATTTCTAATATGTATTGTAATATGGGGATATACTCCATGTTTGGCAGAATGTGAATGATTTGCTGGTTTCTCATCCTTAAGAAATACTTATACTTGATTTCCACAGAGTTACTGGTTGGGTTTATTAATAAGGAACAACATGACATTTGAAATAAGCTAGGGGCTGGGGAAGATACTTTGCAAAATCACAAGGCAGCATGTGATGATGTCAACAAATATAACTGAATGTTGTGCAAGCAATGCGTTTAGCAAAATCGCAGACTGATATATACAGGAAGATTTAAGCATAGTGACCAGCAAGAACTATTTATCAGTAAATATTACTTTATATTAATCTAGAAAATGATTTCAATATTCATTTACTATATTGGAAATTCATAAATATTAAATGGTTATATACCATTTGCAAAATATGAAAAATTTAACAAAGAAAGGCATAGGGAACACTATGAAATCTCAGTTTGAGACACTGATCCTATAAATGCCTGGTCAATTATAATCTTGATTCTCAGGCCTATCAAAGTGGCAGCTCATGATTTTCTGCCTCAGAAACACTTGGAGATTTAATTATTCCATTCTTTAGCTTTTTTGTTTTAGCAAGCTCATTTTCAAATGGTGAAAAAAGCCAGTTTTTTGTAGAAACAAGTTGACAGGAAAACTCTTTTTTATGACACATTTTCTATTTGCTTTCTTATGTAGGTGAACCTATCATATTTCATTTGGGACAGTAAATACAGCTGTCCACATATCCAAAGTCTTTGATCAAGTGCAAAGAGGCACTTTTAATTTAATTTACAATATTTAACATGAATAACAAATAACAGTGATAATTTTTTGTGAGCAGATATGAAGAAATTAAAAATATTTCAGAAACCTGATCCAAGGAATTATTAACTAAAACAGGAAAACAGCTAATATAAAACTAAAAAGAGCAACATTTTAAAATGAGAAATCTGAATCCTTTAATTTTTATATTTGTAACAAATGAAAATTGGTGTCCAAGGTTGCCTTTTGATGATAGGTATTACCTGTGGGCTGACTTTAGAATCTGAGTTTGTGAAGCTACAGGTTCAAAAATCTGGTAATTATGATTTAGCATATTGTTTTAGTCTGGCTAAGAGACTGTCTTAGTGATTTGTGTACATTCTAGAAAAAAAAGTACCAGCTGTATAAAACAATAGCTAAAAGTATAGTTCTTGTAGCTAAACATTCAGTTACTCTTACAAACAAAATAATGTTTTACTACTGTTCAAATATTAAACACAGACTCTGAAATGCCTTTTGGTGGCAGGGACTATGCCTAATATTTGGGAGGCTGGTCTGAAAATCACAGTGGATGGAATAAGAAGACTGCTCTCCAACCCCTTCACCAGCATCAGGATTTTTTTCAGGGTTGTATGAGAATTTGCTTTCTTTCATTTTTTTAAACTAAAGGAATTAAAGGCTACCTGGGGTTTTTCACCATATTCATGTTTTCCACCTCAAAATGGCAGGAAACAATAAAGTGTTATCAATTTTTGAAAATTAGGGTGAAAGGGCTCTGGAGTTGACAAAACAGGGCACAAAACCTTTGGGATTTCAGGCTGCTCTCCCCTATTCAAAAGAATACAGACCTTATACCATTTGTTGTATAAAACTTTAAATCTTGAAAAGCTGACTGCTTTGTCTTGTGTAATCTTTTGAACATGAAAAGCAACCTTTATAGATTTATGACCCTTAACTTTTTCTTACTGGGAAAAAGAATATTCAACATGAACTGACCTTAATTATTGCAATTTAGTATTTTATTCCAACTATTCAGAATTTAAATAAGATATGAACCGGTAGCATTTGAAAGCATGTTTAATTTTTTCAATTAAAAGTATATGGAAGCTTAAAATATTTTTATATATGGAATGAACCAAAACTGCAATATCACATTTTACAGTTAACTAAATTTGAATGGAACATTTATGCCACATTCTAACCAAATCATTAGATCGGGAAAGGATAAAAACAGCAGCTCTGATTTCCTTTGGTGAATATTTCATCAGTTCAATGAAGTGTTTCTCCACTGTTTGTATGTCAACTATAAAGGCTCTATTCATTCTTTTTTAAAAAAAACATAAACAAGAGTAGCAGCAGATGTACTTGTCCTGGCAATTGAGAATTCACAGGAGTGTAATTGTCTTGTTCTTCCTAATGTAATAATTCATAAAGTATGCAATATGTACTTTACTCTGTAATTCCCTTGCCATCATCAAAGAAGAACACAATCTCCTCCCAAACAGCATACCTACCAACATCATCTTTCAGTACAAATGGTATTGAATTTAAGGAGGTTCCCTAAGGACGTTTCCAGAATGAAGATATCTTCAACACACCTGACACATAGAATTAATTCAGGATTGTCCTTATCCCCTTCTTAGTGCAAAAAGGAAACAGGATTGCTCCAAGGATTACAAGGGGTCATTGCCAAAAAAAAAAAAAGCCCTCACCTAAGTTTAAACAGAATATATATTCTATTTCATGAAATTCTACAGCCACAGCCTTGCAAAAACCTGCTTTTCAAACTTAGTGAATGTAGTCTTACAGTTGTTAACCACACACTTATGCAGGGAAGTTCTCTTTACCATTTTGGACATGATACAGAAGACCAAGCTATCCCTGAACATATGGACTGTGCTCTTCCATGAGATCCTCTGGATAGTGAGCAATATAACACACAGACACACCCGCATATATGCATGAAACTCCCCAAGATCTTCAGTAGATCTTTATCATTACTTGCTACCTGACTCTTAACCTGAAATTCCAGGAATTAAAGTGAAAGCATTATATCCCAAAATTGTGCTCTAGCACTGAGCTCTTACCCCCTAGCCCAGGGCAGTTGTCACGGGATTCTTAGTCATCCATAAGGGCTCTGAATTCCTACAAACATGACATGTTAACTCTATTGCTTTTGGCAATTCATGCACTTTTAAGAGCAATGCATGAGAGCAACGAGCATAAGAATGATCCACAGAGAAATCCAGCTAATTATTCTACTAATATTTTAGTGTTTTATAGTTGAGATCACTTGAATAAACTGTCAGTTTAACAAATCTGCTTCAGCCAGAGCAATGGAGAGAGTCTGATTAATCCCTAATAAAAGAAGTACGGTATTGTGCATGCTCACTTACTGTTGGTTGCATAACATATGATGGATGGGGCATCCATGAAGTACTCTGAACCTGTGTATCAAAAAGAATGGACTATTAGCAAAACAGCAAGAAAAAGAAAAAAAAATACCCAGAAATAGTCTTGCTTTGAAGAAAAAGTAACTTAGAATGAAAACTTGGTGTTCCACTTTGGAAAATTTCATAATTTTACATGTTTATATCTGAGTTGGGAGTAATATTTTGGAGATTTTCTCAAGAAATTTGGGTCTGAATCTTAGTTGCAGGGTATCATCAAGGACTTGGACAGGATTGATACTGCAGCTTGGATGCCACCTGAACATTATACAGCAGCAACACTGAACATCACACTGACCTGAACAAATCATCTTGCAATCAGGAACAAATGCAGGGCTGATGTACATAGTAATCCATCGAGAAATATAATGAAGATTAAATTGTGCACAGGCTAATAACAATCAGTGCCACATATTGTGACTAATATAAAGAAAGTAATATATATGCCTGCAGGACCCAAATAATGTTAATGACAAGTTCATATTGAGAGGATTGGCATATTTATGATCTAGGGATTTCAGACACCCTATATTCATAATTCTATATTTCTTTCTTTATAAAAGATACATATGTCAAGAAGCATACTGGAAGGAACTCTTTGCCAGTGCTCTGAGAAAATTTAGTTGGCTTTAATAAAGCATAATGCTATGAAGGAAGCCAACAGACAATTAATGTTCAGACTATATTTAAAAAGTATTAAATGAGTTTTCATGATCAGTTAACGCAGAGATTGATGATTATCTCATATTTTACAATAAGTAGCAGGCTCATGAGCAAGAAATATACAAATCCTATGTTGACAAGTAAACTTCAAATTAAAAACAATTCAAAACTGGAGAAACATATTTCCTAATAATCCTGAACTTGGAATATTCTGTATCATATTATGTCACAATTTCCCCATCAAGAATAATCTCACTTTAGCAGATTATGAGATCTTGTTTACTAATGCTACTTTGCCTTCAGACAGCAAAGGAGGAAACATCTGGCTTAATCAAGCTCAGAAAGACCAATAAATAGTCAAATCAGGCAGTTATAGGCCTTGACTATCTAATGTAACATAAATATATAATAGGGCATACATCCAAAGCCACTGGTTGTTTTTAATTCTTTCTGTATTTATTGCTCACTTTACAGAGGATCAGCTATAAGACAAATATCTAACAGAACAAGAAAGACCTGAGGAATTATGTCAAGCATGTTCCAACAACTTGTGGGATATATAGCAGAGTATTGTGTGGTAACTTCTATATTATATTGTTCAAGATATTTCCAAATAGCCCCAATTTCATGCTCTTGTACCTCTTGTTTGGAAGTCACTTTTATAATCATCTCAACTTTTGCTGGCTGAGAAAGGCAAACATGACTTGATCACCGTTAATTAGTGTCCCCTCCAGTTGACCAACCGGGAAGCATCACTCCTCTTTAAAACCCCACTGAAAGCTACGAAGATGAAACAAGAATTTGGCATCCAGGAAGTTGGCAGAAGGGATAAAAGGAGGCAGTAGCAGTAGAAAGGGAACCATTCTGCTGAAGCTGAAGAGCAGTCCCTGCTGCTAAGCCTCTGGCTATAAGCTGCACTATGGGAAAAAAAATGTGATGATGGAGGGGAGTTAGGAAGAGACATGTCAGTGACAACGTTACTTCCATATGGAAGGATACAGATGCATTTGCCCAGCACTGCTGCAGTTCCTGCCTGACCTTCCCTACCAGCAACTGGGTCCTCTTCCACCTATTCACTTTGCTTATCTCCTTTTGTCCCCATCCCCTGCCAGTGGATGTGCAATGAGGTAAAGCAACCTACAAATTGAAATGCTGTATAATCAAGACATCAATGCACGTTGAACTAACTTAATAAAAATCAGAGCCATAAAAAAAAAAATCCTTGAAATGTGTCGGCGTCATGTGAAAGGATAGGTCAGAGCTGTTTCTGAAGCAGTGCAAAGTTCCTGAGAGGCGGTGCTTTCACGCTAAGTAAAAGCCAAGCTACACATGGCTGCATTGCAAGATCTTCATTTAAGTGTTCACCTTGCTCACCTTTCCCCTCTCTACATTCTTAATAAATGTTAAAGGTTTCCCTTATATTCGTAAAGGAGAACAGCATCTTAATAATTCAAAGAAAACAGGGAAACTTGGGGTTGTGGGGATCAATACTTTTGTTATAAGGCCTATGATAAAGATATTTGGTTTTCTTTAATTTACATAAAGATTCTTATACCATAATGATCTTAGGAATACATTTTGGAAGAATTTTAGCTGCCATCTTGTCCTTTCTGTTTGTAAGTGCTGATGTACAATGTTTAGAGTCAGGGTTAGCTATTGTTTAGTGCCTACTGCTATGAATTCTCTGTATTTATGTCTAGTAAGATGATTATATTTTCAGACACTGATATGTGGAGATTCTGGAACAAATGGCAAATACTTCTCAGTGGAATTCAAACCCTGCTGAGATACAGAATCTTCTTTAAAACTTTCTTTTCATATTTTAGGCTACTGGCAACTTTTTCTCTCTCTGGATTTTCATGTCTTCAAATACTTACCTTAACCATCATTTAAATATTTGCTGGCTAAATAATTATTTTCATGAAACACTTATAAAACTTTTTAAATCAGATATCACAGATCTAATCATTATCATGTTTCAAGATTCTTTTTCTTATTCTACCACCAGGTTCTATTTGACAAATTAATTTTTTGTGATTCATCATATTCTTTAAAATTTATCCTCAGATACTTAGAAAATAAAAGTTGTTCTCAGCTTAAAAAAAAAGATCAAGGTGATGGCTGGGACTGAACAGTTGTGGCCATCACCTTGACTTTTTAATTGTTTTTCTTTTTATTATTTTGTGGTAAATCTTGTTACATGGTATTGTTTCAATACAGTGATGTTTATATAATATGACTAAATATTTTTAACATTCTATGATTTAGATAGCTTAGAGTATTGAGAAGAGAGAAGAGAAAAAAATATTCTATCAATATCAGTTACAATTTAGGATGTCAATCCTACAAGCATAAAATTATTTGGTTTTTTCATCCAAAGTTGAATATAACATTGAAAAAAGAACCACCATGACAAGTATATGTTGTATAATAGAGATTTCAATCTTAAATTGATTACTTAATATTAAAGTCTCCCTTGTATTGTTACTTGATACACACACACACACACATACATGCATACATGTTAATGAAAGGAAAAAATAGATAAACAGAGCAAATTTAACAAGAATTAAAATACCAAAACAATACAAAAAGAAAATTAAAAGAAAAAAAGGAAAATTAAAAAAGGATTATTCGGTTTGTGTCTCCCCCCTTTTTATACATCTGCTGATTTACAATATTTGTAGACATTTAGGCCTCCTTAGAAACCAGACAATAAGTCGTTATATTTGCCATGCTGCATGATGTGTTGTATGTATGGGAACCATTTTTGCTTAAATTTAGTTAAACTTCTATTGTGTATATATTCTGTTAGTTTTGCCACTGCTGCATATTCTCCAAGTTTAAGTTCCCAATACGATATTGTTGGAATTGCACCTTTCTACCAGTGGTGAGCAAAATTTATTCACGCTGCTGTAAGCCTATATCTCAATAAATTAAATGTTTCTTTTATTTTTTATGGGATTACACCTAGTACGAAAAGTTGTGGTTTCATTTCAAATTTAAATTCCAAGATTTTCTGCATTATACTATGTATGACTTCCCAGTACTTTTGAGTTTTTTTTACAGGTCCACCACATGTGGTAAAATGTTCCTTCTGACCTTTACTTTTTTAAGCCTTGCTGAAGATGTGCTTGATTGATTTCCTTTCCTGCCTTATTTGCCTATTTGATACATATATAATCTATCTTTCTAATGTACTAACATGAACAGCTGAAATTTTGTTAGGCCAAAAATATAAAAATAAAATAAATCAGAATACAGTAAAAGCTTAATTAAGCAAATGCATGGAATGGACCAACTTCTGTGCCAGTTAATGTCATTTGCATAATTATTTGTTACAATATATTTACACAAATAATATAAATTGATGTAAATGTTTAATATGCCATTATGCAAATGAAGCAAATCACAGATAATATATTCTCTGATTTAACCAATATGTGTATAACAGACACTCCTTCTTCCCCTGCCCCCACCAGCTTTCTCTGTTACAATGAGATTACAGTATAATTTAAAATGTCCCCTTCATCTACAAAATATCCCATGTTGGTGTGAAAACATTATGCAAGGACAAATGCAATATGATAATACATTTACAAACTAAACATCACGACAACCAATCATTCAGGAAACAAACTGGTATTTAAAAATCAATTTAAAATGACTATTACAAAAGAATAGTTTGCTTTAGACATGTTATGCTACCATGCTACTTATAGAAGGATCTCTTGCACAGGCAGAAAAATGGAAGAGGTGGAAGAGGTCACTCAGATATTTAAAATAGTAAAAAAGCAGTCTGTGTTATTCCTTAAGATGTTGTATAGCCTAGCTCCGTTTAAATAGATTAATCAGAATTCTAAATGATTAGGATTTAGAATCAAAGAAGAGATGTAGCCTTCTGTATGTAGGTATGTATGATAAATGTATTATCATATTGCATATTGTAGATTTATTTATTTGATTTCTATCCCATGGCAATCTTGTGACTCTTGGCAGTTTTCTCTGCTTGTCTCCGAATTATCTCTGTGTGTATGCTTTATGGGAGAGAGTAATCACAACATACAGAGGACCAAACCAGCCCTAGAAAAGGTTCTCTGCCTGGCTCTAAAGCAGTCCCCAATGTAAAAACCCCAATGCACAGAGATGCCTTGCTTGCTTCAGAAGTTACTGCAGGCAAAGCAACATGGCAGGACATGGACATGGATAGCCAGAGATGGCTTCCACAGCATCTGTGGAAGCCTTACAATGAATGGGGTTGCTGTACTGATTCAAGAGGGGGTGTTTTATATGCACTTCCATTCTATTCTGTTTGGGAGGGGTGCAAGTCTTAATTCCACTACAACTTTAGCTCATAGTGAAAATATGTGCATTGTTTAGTTAAGAAGATCTATCTTAATTACAGCAAATGCTTCACAGCAGCTATTGCTACTGTTGGTTTGATTATAGCCGTGGGATGTCAAACAATACCAGTTTTCAGCTGAAGAGAATATCTGTAGCTCAGGGTTGAACTGTGGAATCCTTGGTGCTCTCTGAGCTTGGTTGTTTGCTTGCAGATGTTTCATTACACAACTATTTAATACCAATTTTGCCAAAGTTATTTTTCTGACTATCACTTCTTGTTTAAAAGACACCGTTTATGTAAACTGAAATGTTATTCTCAATCTAAGGAAGTATCAGTGTACATTTTCTATATGTGGGGTAATTTTTAATCATGTTAAAGGAACTCTTACTCTAGTATGATACTTGGAACAATGTTTTCTGAAAATTAAACTCCAGTATAGATCTCCTGGTTGATACTAACAATAGTTGTTGTTTTTTTACTTTATGTAAACTGCCATAACCAGAATACATCAAGAATTGTGCCACTGAATAGCAAACTTAATGTGCAGGTCTGCACTATACTTCGTATATATTTACTGTCCATTGATATTCAAATCACAGATACTGACTTAAGGGTATATGAGGTGATTCAAACATACCTGATATGTGGAGACAGGGGAAGCAGCAATGAATGGCGTGATAGATGTCTGTGGAATCATGCGGTTTGTAGCAATACTGTACGGTGAGGAATAAAATCTGCAAACAAAACAAAAAAAGGAAGAAAAAGAAAAAGAAAAGGAAGATTTGAGGTAATGGACTGACATGGACTGTTTCATAAGCCACTGCCAACTGAAGACAAATGTATCTATATTCTCTATTTTAATTATTGTTAACCTTGTGGAATATTCATTGAGGAGGATGGTGGGATATAAATCAGATAAATTAATAAAATAAAGCAGCAAATGGGAATACTTGCCCATTTATGCTCCTGCCTTTCCATTAGCAATATGCTTAAAAAACAAACAAACAAAAAAAAAACTGGGCTAGTTTTTGGACTATGATCAAGACCTTGGGAGAAGTTTCATTAAAAACTTATTTTACTCAGATTTCCAACTAACTAAGAAGTCAGAGACTAACCAAAATAAGGTTGGAATAAGGTCCTCAGCCTCTTTCTTTCATATTAGCCTTGGTAATGGGCATTTTTCAGATTTGTCACAAAATTTATATTATTGTGTTTGGTCCACAATCCCTCATATTCCAATGTTACACAATCCCATTTTAGAAAGGGGAAGAGATGGTGGCCCCGGTTGAAATAGGAACATAAGACTACACACTGTCTTCATGGATTTATAATCCACATTCAATGGATACCAGCAACCAGAGGTGTCTGCATGGGGGGTGGGGGTTGTGAAAAAAAGATCAAGATGGCAGCACAGCTGTGCAACCAAAGCCCTGTTCCTTTTTTAATACATGTTGCATATGTTACAACAATCAGTCCACTGTTTATATGACAGAAATGATTAAATTATAATATTGTACCCTAGTCTTATTGTATTAGCTTTGCACTGCAAGAAAAAAATAAGCACTAACCCCTACTCTATTAAAGGATTTTGTAGGTTTTGCTTCAGGAAACTGTCATTAAAATATGCATATTAGGGAACAACATCCATTTTAAAGAAAAATAAATACTTTCTACTGGGAAACAATTGTTCATAAACAAAAAAGTGTACATACTCAAAAAGTTATCAAACTTAACGTTAAAACCAATGCACAAAAAACCTGTATTAATTATTGGGCAGATTTTTGTTTTGTTTTCTTTTGCTGAATTCTGAAACTGATGAAGAAATGAGTCAAAGTGAACGTTTTACTGCAGTTGGTAAAATGAAAAAATATGAATGAAAGCTGAGAGATTTTCTTTTCCTTAATTCTAAAGACTTCACTTCAATGAGATCTGGGAACTGGGGGAGAGATTTACTTCTTCTCCACAAAGCTGTAGCAACAATTAAGACCAGATAAAGCCTTAATTTTTAAGCCTGCAGTTACATATTCACCTGGGAATAGGACAGATGAGAGAGTGATATATGTGCAGAAATGAGGGTGAAATGTTGGAACTAGAGAGTCAGTGACAATCTGGCGACAAATTAACTCTGTTTCCAACCAATTGCTTTGGGAACTTAAAAGTAACAAAAAGAGTTCTGTGCCACAACATGAATACCATTATGATTTACTGACATACTGAATAATTACGTAGACTTTTTCTGTAATGATTAACTATAGCTATCATTACTGGAATTCTGACTTCATAACCATTGCACTATTTAGATTAACTACTGAACAATTAATTAAAAAAAAAGAGTCCCATGCAATTCGGCCAAACGCTACTCATGATTAACATAATTGAATCAAATTTCTTAATAAAGAAAAATCATCAGTTATTGGGGAAGTTAGAATAAATAAATAAATAATATATATCAACTAGTTTAAAGATGATTAAAGCCATGGATTAACAAATTTAAAATAACAAAATTAAGCCAAAGTTAAATTTACTTTCAGTCTTCAAAATAACTTCACTGAATACAGTGGAGGCATTCTTAAAGAATTATTGCAGCATAAAAACTATTTTTCAAAGTTAGTCTGTAGTGTTGTGTGAGATAAAATTTTTGCCTTTTATTCAATAACTCAGATCTTCTGAAATGCTTCTGTTTTGCAATAATGCTAGTGAAAGGCCAGTTTTCAAGATGAAAGTGATGAGAAATAAACTAAAAATGAATTAAAGTATAAACATAACTAAATGGAATTAGAGGATACATATAAGAGGAAATATTTATAGAATATACTGTATAGGTAACCTTTAAAAGTTTAATAAGTTCTCAGAAAAAAAGGTTTAGACATACATAAACCTAGTCTATAACTGTAAGATGAAGCATTATTGCTAAAAATGTAATAATTCCATTATTATTAGAATAGCTTGATAATATTACCAATAATTAATGAAGAGTTAATTCCAAGACTAATAAAAACATTGGTAGAATTTCTAAGCAGGTGTCATTATAAACTGTGAATCAGAGAAGAATCTTGAAAAGCCTAAATCCTACAGACCAACATATATCTATTATAAGCATATCAAATCATTATAAAATCATGACAGCTGTATTAATTACCAAAATTAACATTACTGTGTGAAATTCTGTAATGGAAAATTAGGTAATTTCTATGAACTAAAGACAAACAGCCTGGAACATATTAAGCCATAGAAAATACTAAATCTTACAGATCAGCCACAAAGATGAAGTAAAGCTAGATTTCTTTCTTTTTTCATATTTGCAAGTGCTATAAAAGTGCTTGAATAAAATTCAGTACTTAGTTACTATATAAAGAAATTAATTACTATATACAGTTATTTATTACATACACACACACACATATAAAACACATATTTCTCTCTAGTGGTAGTGATAGATGTAGCAGTGCCAAGTGACAGCAACATCAGGAAGAAGGAGCATGA